CTGCTGTTCATATATCCACTGCGTCCTACTTACACGTGGTGTGATGTGGGAGTGTACTGCTATCCATCTTTTTCAATCTGAGGTATTTAGCAGAGCAGCTGCTATACCAAGTGAGTCCCTACTTTACCCTAGATGCCACAGTGTTCCTCACTGTTCTTATCATCGGTCTCTGTTTTCCAGAACTATTGAGATCAGCTTCAGATTTGTCCAAGGAGAAGAGGAGGTCTCTCTTGTGATGCAGTATTTTCAGGAGGAACATTATAAAATTTCTACCCTAGAATTTGGCATTACTGCTATTCTAGAAGAGGACCAGATGAGATGAAAGAATGCACTTTGAACACAGAGGAGATGGCATTAGACCTGTGGTGGCAGCAACAGCCCAGGATAAGGAACTTGTAGAACAGTAGAACATAACTGAGAGCTGTGCCTAGGAGGAGGGACTTTTACTGGAAAACCCTGAAATTAATGACTGGGACTAAGAATCCAAGTGAAGCATGTGGGGTGAGGAAAGAGATGCTGAGAAGTCCAGGGGACAGTTTGTCTTGGAGAATTATATGAGACTGCACAGGAGTTTGGGCAAGCAGGCTGTGACAGCAGCCTGGGAGGATCTGCAATACAATGACTACATGCAAATTAAAAGAAACAGACTAATTGGCCAAGGAGACCAGCAAGATGGAGGAAGGTAGGACAAGAACAGGGAACCTGCAGGTGGAAAGTCAGCAAACTGCTTTATTAGGTAATTGATATTGGGGTGAGTAGCATGAGAAATGGAAACTGGGACTGGCAAGTTGAGGAACAGGCTTGAGTGAGTGTTCAGGGCTGTGACATTTGAAGATGTCACATTTCAGGCAATGGGCATAAGGTCCCTGACCACCAGGGCAGACTTCCCTCTAATGGCTGGAACAGAATACAAGATTCATCTATTCATTCTCTTCTTTTGTGAGTTTTGGTGAGATTACAACTCTGTGCAAAGCCCTCACCGGGCTCTCACAGGCAAGAACTGCTTGTGATATCAGAGGGTGGCGATGGCTGGAGGTGGGGTCAGTGGATGCAGGGTTTGGTAAGTGCTCTGAACACTCTCCTGTGTAGAGGCCTACCTTCTGTGTCCTGTCCCATTCTCCTGAATACGAGGTGTGAGGCTGGGAAGGGATTACACTGAGCAAAGTTTTTAAGTCCACAGTGACTTCTTCCATTGCAAACACGGTGTTTACTTACTGAGATCGCAAGGTGTATCTCACCCAACTGATTCCCTGCTGGAGGCAACTCCAGTGATGAGAGCACCTTGAACTTGTCTTTTCTGACAGACACATACTTGACTTTCTGATATCTGGGATGCTTTGTTTGTGCTAAAATTCTTTGTCTCATATGAGTGATGAGTATTGTATTTACACTTAATTGTCATTCATTTTCACTTCATTGTATTTACATCCAAACCGGCATCCTGATGTGGCACTGTGCAGGCATTCCAGGTTGCTCAGAACTAATTCAAGGCTAAACTTTGAGCATCTCCTTCTGCAGCCCAGTCATGTTCCTGCAGTGCAACCTGCTGCATCTAGTGCAATCTGGATTTTAACACACATACACTCCCCAAGCATTTTCAAAATCACTAACATCACCCCCTTGTATTACTGATCAGTTGACTACTCCCAAATGATTTTCTGCTCTCATTTCTCTCTTTCACATCACAGTTTATATACTTTCAAAGTTTCTCTAGGAATTTGATGCCACGTTTGTCTGCAAAGCACGTGGTGGAGCTGTAGAGCTGTCTAAACATCATCATTATCGCAACAATAAGCTTAGTCATACAGCTAAAAAGTAGGCAGTGAAATCTATTTCGGAGCATAAGCTGACTGCCTACAGTGGCAGGAGTGGGCTTCCTTCCCTCAGCAATGGTTTTGCAGTGTAGTGTTTAAAGTCATCAGGATTGACTAATTCTGTAAGTTACCAGTCTGACTCAGAATGGATGTTCACACCGTTAGTAACAAATTCCTGGCTGAGAGGGACCATCTGGAGAAATGTAACTGTACAAGCAGCAGACCCTGATGGTAGAACCAAGGGGTACTGGTCTCTACTGCACTTTGATGGGTGTACAGTTCAGAAGAAGACTGTATGTTCTAATCTTGTCTAGCAAACATCTGTAGAAACAAGTTTGTAACTGACCTTGTCCAGCTCCTTCTGGATCATCCAGCACTTAGTCACTCCGAGCAGCGCCTGGACCAGGCCCAGGCGGTTTCCAATCTCTGTCATGATGCTCATGGAGGAATCATACCGAGGGAAGGCTGTCTGCAGAAGAAGGGAGGAAAACACATGTTTTGCTACATCCTGCTTTACACACCCTCTTGCTATCCCTTCTGTCCTTCCTGGCAAGAAAGAGCCGTACCTGCACGTCTTTGCGACTGCGATGGATATCTGCAAAGCACAGCAGACAAAGCGCTTGCAGAGGCCGGTCACCATGCTGCAGGGCAATCTTCATGGACTCCTGAAAGAAATTGTCTTTGGTTAGTAAAAGAGCTTGTTCCTGGTTCAAAACAGCAGGGCTGGGACTGTGCACTCCAGCCACAGAAAGGTCAGCTCCAAAGAAATGCCACAGTTTTTTTAAGGCAAGTGAAATCTTGTTCACATCTTCCCAACCAAGGGCCTTTCATAGACCTAAACTTTTGAGGCCCCCCGGGCTACTGAATCCACAGCTCTAAGACTGGGAGGCAGCAGGAACATCTAGAGTCAAGTGTGGATGCCATGGTATCTCTCTTCCTCCCCTTGCAGAGACCTCTGACAGCTCTGCATCTGCCTGCACCCCATACCTCGCAGCAGTCCATAGCATCTGCCAGGCGCCCCAGCTTCCGATAGGCCACTGCCATGTGGTATTGGCTCATCGCACGGTACTTCAAGCTCCAGCCCTTTCCATAATCATTCACCAGCTCAGCTGCTTTACATGGAAAGAACAAGGCTTTCTCATAGTCCTGTAAGGCAGACAAGCAGACAAGACAGCACTCACAGCAAAAATAAAGCAAAAAGAAAAGAAAAAGGTTGCCCAAGGAAGTTGTGGATGCCCCCTCCCTGGAAGTGTTCAAGGCCAGGCGGGATGAGGCTTTGAGCAACCTGGTCTAGTGGAAGGTGTCCCTGCTGATGGCAGGGGGATTGGAACTGGATGATCTTTAAGGTCCCTTCCAATCCAAACCAGTCTGTGATTCTATGATTCTATGAAAAAACCACAACCATTTGTTTTTTACTAACACTGCAGCAGCTGGCGGATTTCTGCACACCTTTCAACCCCCGCTGCTCCTTTTCCACATGCCCTGTTTCACTAGATGTTTTCACTGGATATCAAACTGTGGAAGGTGGAATTGCAATATACAGAATTCATGTTGCTCTCTGGGTTCAGGACACTGGGCAATAATGCAGCAAATTAATTTTATATAGTATGCTATCAGCTTTACTCTGGAAAGGAACCATTTACCCTCCTCTGTAACCAAAGGCTGAAAACTTTCTCTGCCCTTATATCATCTCTGCTTTCAACATCTACATGGAGCCCTCCTATTCGCCATATGGAGAGTCAGGATCTCTAAGAGGCTGGTTGTCCATCATTGCAGGAAACAGAAACAAAAAATCATGGCCTCACCAAACTCACAGTAAGTAATAATACAACATATTCTCCTTTTTAAGCATTTTTCTGCATTAAAAGCGATTTAGAAAGAAATCTGATTTTACAATTAGGAAGCAAAACTACTATACATATCTAAAACCATTCACGAGTAAGTTATGTGAGACTGCAGAAATGAAAAAGTCCTCGTGTTTTTTAATTCTCCAAGATGCATGAAGGAAACCACAAGTTTTTAAAATTTCCTTTCTCCCTTCTTATTTCATACCTTAAAAGTATCCAGTACAATGTTCTTTACTTTTGGTATTGGGAGGGAAGTTTACTGAGAGCTTTCAACACTTCAACTGGGGAGTCATCCATTAGTGACAAAAAACCAAGACTTTGTGGGGAAAAAACCCTATTTTTTACCATTTGTAATAGAAGTTGGAACTGGCAAATCACCCCCATCCTCAGTTCCTGCCTGTTTTTCCTCAGACAAATAGCTATTTGCCTGAGATAGTTGTAGAAATAGATAGAGAATCTATGAGTACTGGCTGCCAGCCCTGTGTGCTGACAGTACCTCCTCTGATGGGATCTTCTCTGAAGCCAAGTTTGATCTTTTCAACACACAGGAATATTCAGAGCTGCTTCTGCTGTGCTATATCAACGTTACAATAATCCTCCCATCCTTACTGTGAACGAGAGTAGAATCATCATAGAATCACAGAATGGTTAGGATTGGAAGGGACCTTAAAGCTCATCCAGTTCCAACCCCCCTGCCATCAGCAGGGACACCTTCCACTAGACCAGGTTGCTCAAAGCCTCATCCAACCTGGCCTTGAACACTTCCAGGGAGGAGCAGCCACAGCTTCTCTGGGCAACCTGGGCCAGTGTCTGACCACCCTCACCATTGAGTACTCGATGGTGACTTTACAGAGATTGTAGCTTACAATGCTCTCTCAGTACTGCACTTTATATAGCAAAGAAATAAGATATATGAAGCCATTTCCAATTCTTTCCTGAATCCATAACCAAACAATCACCCTTCCATCCCTCAGGTTACCTTTATCTGGGCATAGAAGTTCCCGAGGCTGCAGCAGACTCGACACTCCAGCATCTTGTCGTCGTTGTTGTGCGCGTAGCGTAAAGCTTTCTCAAAGCACTCCAGAGCCTTCTGGAAAATGCTGAGGCCCAGGAAGGCATTGCCCATGCTGAGGCTCACCTGGCCATTCAGCTGCAGGCTGATGGTGGTTCCCTGCATGTTCAGACACGTCTTACAGTAAGAGATTGTTTTCTGGAATTCACAGAGTTTCTCATTGCTGCGAGCCAGGTTTAGGTAGCTCTCTGTAAGGTAATCCGGGTCTTCCAGCTCCCGTGCTGTGTCAATCTGTACCACTGCAAACTTTAAGTAGAAAAGACAGTGTTTATAAAAGTGTGTAGTTTATTTACACCTCAAACACCCACAGAGCAGCACCCTGCACTGGAGAAGTGGCTGAGCTCTGAGCAGGGCAGAGAAGTCCAGCAGCATGGACTGAGAAGCATCGTGTACACCCAGCAGTTATCTGGTGGTTTAAAAGGCAGATAAGCACGCTGAAGAAACCTCTCCCTCTCTCTCTCCACACAGGCTCTGGGGCAAGGAAGATGAACCAGACTGGCAGTTAGTGGGGAGAAAAAAAAAGCTGTTAAATGTGCCTAAAAAGAAGCAGGAAATATCTGACACAATGCAGCTCAGTTTTCTTTCACTCAGTTTCATTTATCCCACTTTCTCTGGAATTCTTAAGATATTAAATTACTCTGTTAACAGAGTAAGTAACCTGCTTCTTTCATTGATTTTATACTAACAAATTGCAGTCTTGACAGTTTAGTTCTATAACCTTCAGGATTCAT